GATAATGCGACCTGCAGAAACACACCTCGACCGGGACACTGGAATCTGGACTATCAGTCAACATCGGTGTTCGTGGTGTAACTCACGCAGGCACACGTTGGAGGCAGGGTCATCAATAAAGATGCTGGACATTGTCTGTTCATGGTAAGCTTGCTGCTACTCACAAGTCCGTCTACCACGCACACGTGCTGAACGCTGTTGCGAACATCCTCGATGATTAATATATTTCGCGCCACTTCCACCGTGCAATAACCAAGTACCATGGGCTTGAATAGGGAGCCTCCATTGAGAGAGATCAGGTAATCAGCGCGGGCCCATACAAATGCGGGGAGAAATACGAGAGAAGCATGCACAATGGCTAGCATGTGTACAACAGGGGGAAAGAACGTCACCGGGTGACGATGAACCCCACTCATTCGAGCTTAAGCACGAGCGAGGCTCCCTCCAACCCATCGACTCCTTGTTGAGAAAGAGAAAATTATTGGTCGAGCGGTATCATGTTTGTGGTCTGTCGACGGTACCGTGGCTCCTTCAGTACGTGTGTTCCTCGGGTCGTGTGTTCCTCGGGTCGTGTGTTCCTTGGGTCGTGTGTTCCTCGGGTCGTGTGTTCCTCGGGTCGTGTGTTCCTCGGGTCGTGTGTTCCTCGGGTCGTGATTTCCCAGTCGTGCTCCTTTGCACACGTCATTAGACTGCCCTTACTCGGTGGGTATCATATCTGCATGTGGTATTGTGGGCAGCCAACGTGCAAGACAAGTCATGTTTGAAGTAGATAGATATCGACACCACTTGCCTAACTCAATCCGAATTCTTCTGCATCGGTCATTATGGCTCAACGTGATCCTTCAAGGGATAACGATCTACGGTCGTAACAACGACAAAGATCAGATTCAGGCTTTGTATCACAAACAAAGTGAACGGTCGATAGTAGATGAAGAGATTTTCTACATTCAAGACCTGCTAGTAAGTGTCGCAGAAAAGATCACGTACAAACGCCATTTTCTCCTGCAACGTAATGACGGAGGTGGTCTGTCGATCTCGGCACTTCGCAAAGGAGATTCTCAAAGTGTGGATACTCAAAGATATTTTCGCGTTCGGGAATACGAGAAGGGCAGCACCGGCGCCTATACTTACACTAGAGTAGATTCCGATTCTGATTATTTGCGCAAGTTTATGTACGGACGCCCAAATATTGCCACGCGTACGCTGTCCCTAGTGCCTGCCTATTCTTCGTCATTCCACCATGGCGTTAGTCTCTGCGGCGCGTGCGTAAGCTTGTCTTTCACAAAAGACAAGGGGGCGCATGTAATGCAGTCGACGCTCTTATTAACGTCCCATGTCGAATGCAGCAGCCTCACCTTTACTTCGTTAGTCCTCCATCGTCAAGTCGTGTAAGACTACGTGTGTACGAGTGTCGGGCCTTCACGCTCGACCCAGATTACTTCCTCTACCGAGGCTCAATTATCTCCACGCTCACGACCAGCATCATGGTGCGTAGGCGATCGATCGCTCTCGCATACTTATTCAATTGCTAATCCGCGTCTCAGCTATGATGATTGACCCTGCTGTTGCATACCTGTCCGGAAGGATATGATGCTTTCGATCGTGGAACTGCGGCCGACGTCTGGTTCAGGGCGGCGAAAGGTAATGACTTCTCGGGAGTTATATGGATTGTCTGGTATGAACGGTGATCTCATTTCGCAGGTTCTCCGGCACTTGTCGAGCTTTTTCCATCACATGGTAGACAACTGCTATCGCTTCAGACTGATTCACACCCGCTGCACAAGAGTATGCAATGCCTTCTGTTTCACCGTACTTGAGCTGACGCAGTAAACTAGTTTCTGGTTATACAAATTTAGTTCTACAACACCGAGACGGGTCTCGACATCCAAGCGCTTGGATTGGCCTGAACGAGCCGTTCAACGTTCGTCGTTCGTTTCCTTCACTCCCGGATATCTGATGTAGCACTATTTTCTTGTTTGATTGTAGCTCTGCCTCTAGCCGTGTGACGACCCCTTCGGTCAGGCTGAGGTACAGGGCCTTCCACCTGTGCTGATGGCGGTTCCTTCGGACCCCAATACTCCGAACTTCAGCTATCGGAACCTATCCGATACGGAAGAGGGCCGACACGAGTAGCTACAACTTGCTCAATCCGTACACCATAAACAATGCTGCGGGGGGCGCTGTCGAACGGGACATCCTACGTAAGTGAGGTGATTTGGACAGACCCGAGAGAAGAGCTGACTTGATCGATGGGTAGACAAACGCGGCACATTCGAATGGTCTCACAGAGTACGATACTCATAAGTTGGACACGAACACATTTAATTCCGATGAGTGCTCACTCGGTGCAGATAACATGTTTGGCGCCATTGTGTCCAACGCTATACGTATGTCGATCTACCGCAGTTGTTCTGCGTTTCGTCACCTTACGGAGTGCAGGTAAGAATCACTAGAGCGCATTGTGATTAGCAAGGCTCATCCGGCTGTCAGGTCTTTCACGTACGCAGCCGATGAGGCCATCCGTTATTGAAGCATGGCAGGAATTTTTACTCATGCGACACGGCGGCGGCGGCGACCACTCGTCTTTTTGAATATATCCGAGTGATGTTCTATCTGTTTTTTTTCCCATCGTACGACCGCGGTCATCTGCGACATCCACGTTCTGCAGCTACCATCCCGGGAAGTGCGAAAGCCAACAATACATGACCACTGCCTGCTCCGGCGCAGCTGCGTGCTGACTTGTTGTCCTGCCAGATCTCTTGACCTGGAGAGGAATTGCACCTCTGCCAAGCTTGATGCTGAGCCCGGATCTGAGTACGAGACCGTCAAAGAATATCGCACGGAGCCCCCCCGCGAATACTTAATATTACCGCAGAGGTATGCTCGACGGAAGCTTCTACCGAGTATGCTACTGAGGAGGCAGGTGTCTACGCGGACGTCTTAGGTGTGAACGTACCCCCTTCGGGGATTCCAACGATACCGGAAGCGTAGCTGAAGGGCAGTAGGAGAGGAAGGGTTACTCCCGCTAGAGCCGGAGAGGTTGACGCCAGGCTCGGAGGATATCCCTATTCCACCGTCAACAGACAGCCCCTCTGTAGCTTCGAGGGAGTTGTTGGAAGCTCCGCCTGAAACCTGCACAGCTTCACCTGCCCCTACTCCTTCAACTGAAGTCCCAATATCGTCTTCTACTGAGTCCACTCCTTTGCCTTCTCCGATTCCTCCGTCGGAATCGTTACCTTATCTCTATCGACTGTGACAAGACCTACAGAGCCTTCTGTGACACCTACGCCCTCAAGTATGCTCACATCTGCAGTCGCGTCCACAGTCACGTCCACGATCGAGCAACTACCGACGCTATCCAGCCCCGCAATTCCCGAGTCTCGCTGTGGGCCGAATCAGACCTGCATAACGGAGATAAGTACCGAGGCCGGCGTCTGTCGTGTCTACGCCACCGCCGCCGCCGTTGAGCCCCACACCGGCTAACGCATCACTTTCTCCGAGTGTCCCATTTCCCACGCCCCATATCCGCTGAATCAGTAATGACCCTTTCACGTTCACGTTCCTCCGTCTCGTCGATCGATATTTGGTACGCGTTCATCTGTTGGGGGTGCCGTCCATTATCGCGCCTTCGACGAAGCCATCTCTCCTTTCTACAGCTCGCTCACCACCACCGGTCCTAGTGAGAAACCCGTATGTTAATCACACGTTTACCGTTCGCTCTCGACTGATCCTCTTCTCAGGTGTCGCCATGTGGACACCCCTACCGCCTTCGCCTTCTTCACCTTCTTCGCTGCCTCCACCGAAAGGTGCCTTCCAGAGACGATTCTGTCTAAGGCTCCGAGCACGGTTTTGACTCACGACATTAACCGTTTGTTGCAATATTTGCATGATGCTGACACAGTTGGCAGAGGAGAACAGATACATTTAAACCTATCTGGTAGTGAAGTTGTGCCCTATATTTCATAAGTAGAAGTACAATCTGGCAGTAGAAGTAGCATAACCCTGTTCATAATACAGCAGACAAATGCTGGTGGTTGACACCAGGCTCAAGTGTAGTCATTTGATAAGGTGCAGAAGGACATGGTGTCCTTCATGCGCAACATCTTCTCTTGTTCCCAGAGGGTGGGAGGCTGCAATCGCAGTCGATGAGACACAAGAAGGACAGGAGGGTATGCAATTGCATATGGAAACATATCCAAACGTTGGTGCAGGTCATCTTTACCAGATAAATGGATATCATGTCTGTCATTAAGCTACACAGTAAGTGATCGGGGTATCGCCACATCAGAGAACCAGCAACACTCAACTGCTTGCAGAGGTGTTTCTTTACTTCGGCTTTAGTAGCATCCTCTCCGGCAGTCTTACCATAATCGCAGTGGAAGCAAGTCCAGCAGGAAATCCTGAGATTGGAATCGTGACAGGCCAGACTGGAGCTCGAAGACTCAACAGTCTTCACCTTTGCAGCAATCTCGACATTGACCCGCTGCCATACAATTTCTCAAGGCGGAGAATTGCCATGGTCCTCAATTGAATGAAGCACCTGCTATCAGGATCAGCAACAATTGGGTGAAGAAATGCAGCCCACAAACCGCTGCCCGCCATCCCATTACCACCAGCATTCTACCACGGCGACTACAGGACACACAAGCCAGCCGCAAATCTAAGGCATCCATCTGTGTAGCTGTAGCATAGAGTGGATTCTTGCCGCAAGCCTCTATCACGTTACAAATTGCAGGACCACAGAAGTTTAGGAGACCGGCAGACCAAGGATGAAGACCACGATAGTGGACGAGCAATGCGCTCTCATATATCGAACCCTCCATTCGTGGGAGGTCACCATCAATGAGGGGGTAGCGCTCGACAAGCTTCTTCCAGCTCTTGTCCACGGAACGAAGGCATGGGTGGTCGAGAACACTTGGCCACGTTTGAACATGGCCACACTGTGTGCACCGAAACACGGCCTGTGCCAACTCTGTAAAACTGGGACCAAGTCGAGAAGATCAGCGATTGTGAGTGTCCTTTGAATGAAAGGAGGCAAGAGCCTCCAGTTGGGCCTCTACATCCGAACGCCAGCGTGAAACTAGAGTCGGTAACTCCGGAGCGAATGTGCCAGGCCGAATATTGGTAATCTCCAAGGGAAGGACTGTAATGGTCCGAATCTCGGGGAACACAGACAGGTCAACGGCTTGCGGCATTGGAACCGAGCTTGATAAGTTCATGCTGTATACAGAAAGTGCCCCATCAAGATTACCCAGGCGCACAGTATATGTCATCCGTTTCTCCCAATTCAGACGTAATGTTCTTCTCCCTTCCATAAACTGTACAATCTTTGGGCGAATCATCTTCCATTCTAGAACAGCATGTTAGAAATTCACATTACAGACTATGTTGTAAGACATACCGTGATCGGTGAGGGGATCCGCCTTACTGTGCACTAGAGGGTGCTCGAAAAGTTTCTTGTATCTCAAGCCTAGCAAGGGAATATCATCACCAAAGCCCACATCTACCAACTTGTCCTTGAAACTAAATGGAGTAAATATCCAAGATACACTAAGATCTGATAAAGGTCACTCACTCCAACACTCTACAACGCTGATCCTGACGCTGATCAACATCAACTGTCATTGACCATAATCGACATAAGGCGGCATGCTGGAAAATCCATCAGCCAATGTCAGTATGTAATGGAATGTGACCTACTTCCATGATACTTCCGGTCCTACGCACGCTAGACACCACAAGTTCTTGGTGTTCAGCTGTTGTCGTGGCTGCTGCATATGCCGCCTTGAAGGCAGTGAAGTCAGGTTTGTAGAACATGGACCCACCTGAAAAACGATGAACTTGAGTCTTTTTTGAACAACAGAGCATGGCACTCACGCGCAATGGAGGGAAGCAGATCGTTCGAGGCAACATGCTGCAGATGACGTTCTTGTGGGAGCTCAGCCTTGAGATCACTTCTTGTCACCCTGATCGTGGTCAACTATGAAAGCTATTCTGGAGGTCATGGCCGCTCACATTTGTTCCTGACATTCCCGACAGCAACGGGTGCGAAATTCCCAAATAATCCACTCCAGACCCACATTGCCACAAGCACACCTGGCACAAGTCTCTTCAAAAACGAGGCTAGCGTATGCTGGCTCAGACAAAAATGAAGGGCAGTAAGGTAGACCAGGGACATTTAATTGTGCCCTTCTCCATACTAACTGTGCCGAGTGATTCATCAATGCCCGTCGCAGAGAACGGCAGGTGCGAGAGATGTGGAGAATATCCAAGGGCATAAGGTATGACAACACCTGTCAGAATATTAGCTAAATGCATTGCATTGCACATTCGAGATCCGACCCACCTCGCAAAAAATTTCCGGTGGTAGATCCACTACGGTGAGAGACCATGACAGAATCCCCGAGCCGTGTAAATTTCGTTTTCCAGATTTCTTTCGAGGACTCCTAGGCATATTTCAGACTTCGTGAAGGTAGAAAATTGGGGCTTACAGTGATCACCGGCTAGCTTTATATACAGCCCAGCCTCGTGCCGCCGCTCGCATTAACATGTCTTTCTTTGTCGCAAGGATAAGTGGCGGGAAACAATGGTTAAGAAACATTGTATCGCCAGGCAGTTCATAGATCACCAGACACTCACCTCATGTCGTGTCTGCGAGGCTTTGGCGATCCAGTACCCGCATTGTTCTGTACACGTTAAGACAAACAGCTCCCCATACGGCGCGACGAACAATGGAAGCAGCCACCCGAATTCCACATGGTAAGTTGTGCGGAATTCACAGGCGCGGCCGCCGCGTGTGCTTTGTGGAGGCTTTTCGGGTTCAATTGGCCCCGCTAAGGTGCACTGCAGGTTGAACACGTCTTAGAAATCAGTAGGTGGCACAAAGGAATGGGTTCACCCGATGTGTGGGGTGTCCCTTTGTCAACACAACTTCGTTCACGAGGTGAGCATGAGGCTCTGGCGAGTGGCACTGGATTGCTATTTCAATCTGACGCCACACAGATGCTCAAATTTAACATAAGTGTACTGTGTTAGAGTAGCAACAAAAACATTCAAAGACTACATATCTCGATCAAGACCATATGGGAGGTAAGGCAGTGGTATGCCTCCGTTGTGTGGTCGGCCTCACCCAAGTCGGCTCCCCATTGGCACCGAATGATAGAACTAGGTGAGGCAAATCAGGATGTTTTTGCTCCTGTGGCACGAACACCGGCTCCCATTGTCCACCTCCCTGTGCAGTAAACATCCAAATTTGTATTTTCGTCGTCAGATTGCCCTCGTCGCTGGAGACTCGATGAATGAATAGATCGCCTACACTGAGTCTGACTCGGGGGTGGAGGCGTTGAGGCGTTGAGATGCAAGTACGGCCGTGGCTGGAGTACCAAACAGTATGCCCATCCTCGCCCCTTACTTTGCGCTTGTTTGGTTGTAAGTGCGGAGCCTGTCAAAGAGCAGTCAATGTATATCCACTACGAAATTGCAGTAAGTGTAAATACATCCGGCGGGCTGTTCTCTACCTTCGTCGCAGAATATTCTGGTTGCAAGGCCTAAGGGGGCAGGCTGTTAGTTTGACAACGAGAGCAAACGAAGCGCAAGGCTATTACATTATTCTGGGCTACTTGCATGTCTCTCTTTCCAGTTGCTTCCCCGCGGGATGCGGCGTGTCTGACGTCCGATCCATTCTCATGGTGCTAAAACACTCATCAAGACAACCTTGGACCTTGCAGGTTCACGGTACATTACGTTTTGTTTGATAAATGGCCCATCCCTAACGTAGGCCCTCTGTGGCTAGTGCAAATCTACGTTAACAATCTCTTCCCAATCAGGCAACAACTCACAATCGATACGGTGTCTTCTTCGCTATCCTTCTTTGTGTCATTCTGGTGGATCTTCTCTCGCTGAAAATTTTGAGTCAGGACACCATCCTTGGCGAGAAAGAACAAGATGGGCTACGAAGGTACCGAATCGCAGACGCAGGATCGGTGTAACGCCTAAATTACGTCGTCTTGGACCGAGGGCAGGAAGTTCACAATGTGAAACACCATTCCCTCCAACTGGGAACACTGCAGTCCACCCAAGACTGGACATATTGCTTGGGAGTGGCGTCGGGCGCGAAGAATCCGAAGCTCGAAGGACGTTGCACACAGGGGGGAAAGGCATCGACGTCTTATTATTAAGGATCCGGGCACGAGTCAATCTCCGCCGGGTTCCTGGTTCTTTGCCTATAGACAAAGCAGTACGGCCGGAGCCAGCCCGGGCCGACACTCAACTTCCAGATCCAGTCTCCTTTATAGACGACCGGTCGTCGTTTCAAGCCCTGTGTCCGCGACGCTGCTATACCGAGGATCTGTACCTGTCATAGAGATATTCTGTCTTGTGCTATCACGTATGAACTGAACTGCCAAGCAACTCTCGTCCTACAGAGGAATCCGGGTGAATACATATTTTTTGAAATGAAGCCAACACATCTCATTCGCTTGGACTCGGATCGAGTTGTCAAAAGCCTGTGCGTGAACGCCTGCCTCGCCACCTACTCATTGACATCACACGCGTGTCGTGGTTCCAGTCGTCTTCCTTTCATGGCCTTCATTTAGCCGGGATTGTGGATAATGGAGCGAGACAAAGAAGCCATCCTATGGTTGTTCGTTCAAAAGGAAGAGCGGCGAAAGAGATCCATTCGTCGGTGCTCCTGTTCCCGTTCTCACTCTCGATGTCCACTGACTACGCAGGTCGCTGGCGTGATCTTGTACGAAATGCCTTGCCTGAATGGTCAAGAGCCTCTCGAAAGACCTACCAAGATGTCGAGCCGCTCTCATACCATGATCCTCACCCGCTCTCAGGAACTCTCAAGAGAGCGTCTAGTGATCTACCCCACCCAGCTGCTCGCGCATCCAAGAGGCCGGTAATCAATTGGTCCGCAGGAGATAGTGAGGGTGAATATCTTTGTAAACGTAGCTTCATCCGAATCTTGACATATATTAAGGTCTGGATGTTGTTTCCTCCGTGCCCGCTGTTTCCAATCAAATTTGGAATGATGCCACGAAAGCGATCGCGAGTCCTCCAGGTGATGATTCATTTTGGGATCTGGTAGATACCTCGTGATGACATTCTTCTCGTTCAGAACAGGATATGGACATTCTGCACTCTACTGGTAACAGAGTCAACAGCAGTGAAGGTGACGCCGCAAATGTCATTGCATCGGTATGCTTTTTCCTGCTCGTCGCCGTTCTCCGCTGAATGATCCCCTCAACGTGTAGCCATCCGACACACCTGGCGTTCATCAGCATGCATTAAGCCAGGCTTCCGCTGGTGCGTAACGAACTTTCATCGTGTGATTATTTACCGATGCAGCGTCTCCAGTGGTACAATGGACAGACTCTCCCATTCAATCGGAAACACGTTCAGAGGTCTCTGCAACGTCGAGTGGCAATCTGTCGGAGAAGTATACGTGCAGCAATGAACAGGTGCTATTTCCTGCCCAGCCTGTGCTCTCATCGGACGTGCCCGCATCGTTGACCGTGGTGGAGTGCAAGGAACAACCTGTCTCACTTCTTCCATCCACGTCCGTCACATCTCCAAGTGGTATCATTTCGGCACCGCCAGCCTTGACCGAGTTATCAACTTTCGCAGACAACGATGAAAATTTGATTTGGAGCATAAACATGCAACTGGGAGACAGTGATGGGAGTGGCAATAGCCAGACGGAGGACACGGAGGATGAGGACGAAGAAGGAGACGAAGAGGATGAGGATGGGGATGAAGGCGAGGAAGAAGACGAAGAGGCCGAGAATGAAGACGAGGATGGCGACGAGGAGGAAGAAGACGAAGGGTACGAGGAAGATGAAGAGGACCAGGAGGATGAGCAGGACGAAGAGGACGAGGAAGATGAGGAAGACGAGAAGGACGGGAGGGAGGACCCGAGCAATGACGATAGCGACGGCAACAATGACAAGGTCGTCATCATTGGCAATAACAGCAGCGATGACGACGAGGACAGTAACAACAGCGACAGTGTTGGCGGTGGTGGTAGCGATGACCGCAGGGAATTTTCCAACAGCACTGCTGAAGAAAAGGAGAGTCAGAATGATGGCATGGCCATCGATGAAGAATATGACCATGGCTACATCTCCGATGAAATGGATCTCGATACCGCAGCAGACGGGGTCGCATCTGTTGCAGCGGGGAGTGCGCCTCAGAGTGGGACGAACAAGCGTTCGATTTTCGAAGTCAATTTTTTGGTGAGTTGTCATGGCATGCCCACTCTTTTACTATTTGCTGCTGACCGGTGGGCGTCCAAGGAATCTGCTCCACCTGCCAGCTATCCGGTAGGTCAAAGCCATACTCATACGAAATTTCACATTGAAGAGAATCGTTACAGGCAACCATCCCTAGGGTGGGTTCCCGTTCCCGTACAGCACAGTCGATCTTCGATGTAAACTTTTTGGTAAGGGTTATCCTTATCTAAATTTTTGCGTGCTGTCCATTGATTCCGTATTTTATGTCCTGGAGAATGATGCTTTCCGCGATCTAAGTGTGGGAAATCAAGTGCGTGCTACTGTAACTTCTCCCATTACACTCTGTTTATATATGTTCTCAGAATGCACCGGCCACTAAGAAAGACATACAAGCCTTAATTACAATGTAACAGGGCCTTGCTCAGGAAATTGCACATCTCCGCAGGATTCCGGAGTCTTCTTCAGCGGAAGATTCTTTCAGCTGCACGCAGAAGAAATATCGCGGTAAAGTCGCTCACAGACCCGGTCCCAAACTGAATGTACAGGTATGTTTATGTGTCTTTTGCAGTCGCTGTGTAGCTCATAGCAACTCAGAGCAAGATTCGCCTGCACGCTCTCGAAATGCTTGGCCGTGAAACAAAGCGGAGTCCCATATTAGGTGCTTCCGACAAGGAAGTTGCATTATTTGAGCGCCACAAACATCCTGGGCCATCGAAAGAGTATTTCCGTCCTCATTTCAATGGTACTCCTCGAACACCGTGGAACAGGCGTCTAGCTGAAGTTTTCACGAATGACTTCATTTCACTCGGATGGTCGAAACGCAAGGATTTTTCTGAGATATTTAACATGTTCTGTACGCATTTCGAGACCCTTAACAAGCAGTACAAGAGACAGACCCGAAGCGCGAAGAAGCCTAGCCAGGCCGAAGAGGACAAGACTGCTGAGGGGCATCGGGATCAGAGGTGTCGGAATGTATGTATTTTTTTGATTGTCCCGATGAATAAAAATGACGGCTTTTGCAGCTGAGGACGAGGCGATTCGAGGCGATTGGGCAACACATCGATGTTATCCGGTACAAGGATCTATGGAATACGATTCCTCCTGGGGCCATGTCTGGCGATGAATCCGATCATAGATCAGGCAAGCTGCGTTACGTGGTTACTAAACTACCGTGGCGGTCAGCGGAGGCCGAACGATGGCTATGTACCTTTGACCTCCTGCACCTCAAAACTCGGTTTCACGATAACGGCAAACCTAAACGAGGAGCCTTCCCTCATCACCGCATCAGAGGATCCTCGAGGATAGAGCGCAATGACGACCCGGTGTCCGGTTTGCCTAGGAACTTTTATGATGCTACGTGGCTGAGTGATCAGTCTGAGGACCATATACGGGCATTGGATATACAGCCCAGTGTTGACCTCACCCTGTCGCAGGACTGTTTGAGGTGAGTGTGATCCATCCGATTGGGCACATTAACTTAATACTCTTTTTCGCAGAGAGGCCGCAAGGTTCGCACGCATAACTAATCGACGCACGCCACCTCGTCCCAGGGACTAAGATTAGTATGCAGGGTCAAGTGGAATTGCTCGAGCAACTATGTATTTCTCCATTGTCACTGTACTGTACAGGTTGATTGTATCTTTTGTATTATGGCCAAACCTCACCAGCTTGCCACTCAAGTTCGTTCAACAGACCATGCAGACCATGCCACTTTTACCCCGACGATCGCTAACGTTCGGTGGGGGAATGTCGTAGATCCCTCCAAGCTTGCCTCGTTCCACCTTCCCCTTCACCCACGCCAGTTACCCTAAGCGTCTGAAATCGGTCTGCAATTGATCCCGAAATGGCGACCAATTCCATTCATGACGGCCCGCGGTTGCTCCGCGGACGCTCTGCGAGCTCCCATTGAGTGTCCAATAAGAGGTCCACTAACCAACCCGAGCACCATGTCATTCCTCAATAGTTTTCTTTCCGCTCCCGAACACGCAGCTGGGTTTGGCGCGATATTTCCCGAGTAACCCATTGTTCTTCGTCTGATTACGGAGTTGTTTATGGGCGTGCTCGACCGCGCAAATAGCAGATGTCAGAGCACTCAGCTTCTAGGAAATGCTAAGTATCTTGCGCTGCTCCTCGTCATGCCGAAGGAGCATCCTCAGTGCTCTCGGGATGTTGAGGATAGCCCACATCTGCAGCTGCAGAAACGAGTTACTTTCTCGTCCCAGAGACCGCCCGACCTTAGGGAGGCAACCTGTCATCTTCGTCTTAGACAGTTTCTTCTGCGGACACACGATCACCCTTTGGTGAGAAGTTAATACTTGTATAATCGTTCGAATTTCGACATAGCTTGTCGGCCTCGAGGCCGTCCACATCTCTCAATTCTCTCATCGAAACTTCGTGGCAGTCCCAATACTCAGCAGGCTAGAGGTGTAATATTAATCGCTGCAAAGACATTTGTGTGTCTTCCATGCAAGCTTCTGATACTCCACAGAACAGTAGCGGACAAGAGTATAATAACCATGAAAGCAGAGCTTCGATCCCATACGTAGGAACAACGTACTCATAGATTACCGCATCGACCGTAAGTACTGAATCCAAGCAATAGCTACACTTGAGCGTCCCTCCAACCTCTCATAGGACTGATTTTGTAGTCTGGCTTTGGGAGACTAACTTGAGGCTAAGATCGCTGTTCGACTAATTCCATCGTGCATATTGCGCGGATGTAACCGTTATCGCCGACAGATTACCCACTTTGCAAGACTGTCCAAATTGTTCACATTCGGGAATGTGCTGTACCTGTGACCATACCACGTACCTTCACCCCACATCCACGCCATCGCCGGATCACGCGATTGCAGCCGCTCTATCACCTAGCATGCCTGACGCCCTGATCGCTATCCCACTGAGCCAAGCGAAGGCAGCGAGACTACACACAGAGAACGCAAGGCAGTGTTGAGCTGACCCAATCGTACTCGGTGGCCGCGGTTTGAGCCACCGATGCTGAGAAACATGATCAACCGCCAGTCGAACGCGTGGATCAGTAGCTAGAAGCTTTCTAAGCAAATCTTTGACTTCAACGAGAGGAGTCAATAATTTGAAGTCAGGAGAAATCGCAATCATACCCTCGTTGGTCGTTGCAGGGGGAAGAGACTGCCATTCAACCCTTCGCTGGTCCATGCCAACGGCGGCTAGGATCCTCGTATTGGACTTGCGAAATGGCACCACCGATGCAAGCCTAAGATGACTTTAGAAGACAATCCCATTGCAAAAATACTGAGTCGCTGTTACATGGTGAATAGTGTCACACCGACACCCCAGCTATCGACTTTCTCATCATAGGTGCCCGATGCTGAGGTAGTAGCTGTGAAAATTTCCGGGGCCATGAAGAATGGGGTACCGCAGATACTCTGGAAGGAAAACATGTAAGACTGAAGCTTAGACGAAGGCCAGATGCTACCTTGAGAACGGTACCACTGGTCACCTTCGCCATGCCGAAGTCAGATACTTTCGCTTTCAGAGGACTTTGGCTCTCTATCAGCACATTCTAACCGAGGTTGTTACATGTAAGTTCCACGACTATCATGGGGTCCATCGAGTACTTGCCGCAGGCTTGATATCTCGATGAACGATGCCTAGAGAATGGAGATACTGGAAATAATAGTGTGAGATACGAAGACAAACTTTTTATCAGAGGGACTGACCACCAACGCGGAGCATATGTCGGCTGTTATGAGCTTTGCCTCCGCTTCATCTATAATTAGGTTAATGTAAGTACAAGCGGCTACTTACGGATAAAAATCACTCACGTAGCCCCTGTGCTCTCTCGATCAACTGGGCCAAAGTGCCTTCAGATATCAGCTCCATCACAATATCTACACGGAGAGCAACATTAGCCCAAGAGATTGAGAGGATGGACAAACGACTCACAAACTTTGAGGACATCATCAAAGACTTGATATAACCGTACAATGTTGGGCTACCAGCGGATCAGTCCACGAGAGTATATGTAACAAAAAAACGAGAGTACATGGCTGAGGCTCTGCAAGATCTCGATTTCTCCTTTGATATAGTCCCTGCCACCTGCTGGTGGAAGGCGAGATTTGCGCAGTGTTTTGACCGCACATGCTCTACCCGTGATATGACTTTGTCCTTTGTGCACTATGCCATAACCACCGCGTCCAATTCTGAATTGTTGTTTCAATACAGTTAAATTACGCAAGCGAGGTGATATGCTTACTCCTCACCCAGATCGTACACGGCAAAGATCTATTGTCATTCAGTGTCGTGGGAGACGATACAAATGGCCATGAACGCGTACGGAGTCCGGGGGGATGTGGCTGTAAGCTACGGCTGAGAAGATGCTCAGTATCTGTACAGACGAGATGGTAGTTAAAACACACCTGGAACATCATTAGTATCACAGAATTCAGGGCTGGCCAGGTGAATGACACAGCTCTGTGGAAGCTCGAAGCCGCGTGCAGCTACCCGGTTTCGGTCCACCTGCGAAAACAATCTGTAATCGAACCTCCGAACAGTTGGCGTGCTCACATATACCCCCTTTTTGTGAAGACCCCGCAGAGACACCGTAGTAGAACCATCTGGGGACACTCTTCTCGTTATGACGCAATGAATCGATGCTGCTCAGATTTAGATGTCTGCCAAGTAAGATCTGACGGTAGACTTACAAATAAATGGTTCATCTATGACAAGGTCGCAGTAAGAGGCCCTTCCAATGGTGAAACGATCCGACGATATATAAATCTGCCGGTGCACAGTGGAATTTGTCACCAGAAGCCTCGCATAAACAGCGGGAAGTACAGGACTTTGTAGAGACATGACTGATTGTCGGCGACATAAGAACGTGCCGCTGAAACAGTATTTATACTCCTCATGAGCTGGAAGTGGCGTAGAGCAGACAAAGTTAGCCAGAACCTCCTTCCTTTGTCAACGCAAAACTATTGTCAGTTGCCTATATTGCCTATAGATTAGCTAACGTGGCAGATGGCACTCACCAGGATCGAAATTGATTTGCCACTCGATCACCGAGCGGCGAAGCCCAGCCTTCAATAATGGGGCGGGACATCGTGAAGGGGGCTTGATGAAAGAACTACGTTACATGCGCCCCCCTTGTCTCATGTCAGAGACAAGCTTACGCATGCTCCGCAGACACCAACGCATACAGAAGCAGATGCGGGGAACATCCCATTCACTGAGAATGGGGTGTTCCCTGGTGTTCCGCTGGATTCCCGGTGCACTAGCTGGCCGAGTGGTGAAATGTCATGTGACACTACCAAGGATTTTTGGGAGCATAGGATCATATCACGGCGAGCCGCACCTTTTCGGGCGCGTCAGCCAGGCGCTAATGTGTTTATCCTTTGTGCTCGTAGGTTCTTTGTGCTCGATTTAAATTTCTTTGTGCCGAGGTCCTTTATGCTTAATGTTGAGTGGCGTAGCGTTTGCTCTTATATTGCAGCCGCAATGTGTCGGCGCGTTTGCGTACCCACCCTTGAACAGCGTTGGCTCCTATGGCAGGTCATTCCGTGTGGTGAGTTGGCTAGCTCATTGATGTCGTGATCACATGTAACCCAATAGTAATGACTAGGGGTGTATCTGTGGCACAGGGCCACCCAGAAAGGGTAATAAGTGGCGGCCATAGCATTCGAATGTCGAATGTCGCTCTTAATGATAAACTCGTTGGCGACAATGGGCATCGTACATCAGTAAAACTGTCTTTTCTTTCAAAGATCGATTCTCCAGAGAGATGGATATCAGTTATATTGTGTTCGTTGACCCCTGGGAAGGCGAGACATCATCTCCTGCATATCAGCAGCCCTTACTAACGTTGCCAAGCAGGTCGAGCAGTGGAGCGTGGATATTGTCCTTCCACCAGTCGGTGAGTATCTGTTGGAAGTTGTTGGGCCAAAGTGAGATTTTCCATAGGGCTATCGTTCATTTTTCGCACTAATAATGGTTAAAGTTCCATATCGGTAACAGGAAATTACATCGACGCTGTTACTGAGAGCCAGCCATGGTCTGAACGACCCATAACCAATGAGGTCGCGACCGAAACTGTCTTGTATGCGACCTTTTTGCCATGTTAATTTTCAGTCTTGACTTCTTGCATAGCATTTCAAGGGGAAAGTCACCGGCATCGGTTGTTGCAGACACCACTGACACCGATAACAAAACATGAAGGAAACGGTCCAAACACGATGGCGATGCCGAAGACCGCGCCACGCCAGTCCCAGGTCCGTACCATGAATACCCCATACCCCCCATAATTACCATGTTATCATCTCTTCACTAACCCTCAAACTCATGCATGCAGGTGCTTCATTAATGCCGACTATTACCGTCACCCAAGCAGGTGCTATTCATACTGAATTCTCGCCTGTCGATGCTCTATCGCCTGGTGGATCTTCCCGGTTGGCGCCGCCTGCTTTCCAGCTGCAAAATCCTCTGTTGCCGCCGAACTTGAAAGGGGATAAATTCGCGAAGATAGGGAAAGGCTCGAAGATGGGGAAACGCTCGCAGATGGAGAAAGTTCGGAAAATCGAGAAGGAAGTCGATCCTGCAACTGCAGCAAGCTTGCCCTCGCCGAGTACGATTCCTGGCATGCTCCAGCTTCCAGGTTCTGTTCCGGTATCATTGACTCCGACTGTGGAGTACAACATGGGGCTCGGAAGGCATGCGAACGCCACAAACCAGCCCTACCAGACGGAAGATGGATACGTGGCCTGTCCCTCCGGAATCAGATTCAAGGACTGCAGGGAAGGCAGCGGGGTTGCTGTGGTGAAAGGAAACGTGGTCAAGTTGTTGTACGTTGGTATGTTGATGGATCAGACCATATTTGACTCGAATGAAGGCAAGGTACCTGTGGGTGTTGGCATTATCCGCCGTCCGACGGTAGCTGATTTCTGTCTGTCAGCTTCAGTTCACAGTTGGTGCAGGTCAAATTATGGCTGGTAGGTCCTCCTTTTCCATCTCCACTATTATTCTGACGGTTCTCAGGGGTTGACGAGGGCGTCCTTGGTATGAAGGTTACTGGACAACGCCTCATCTTGATCCCCTCTGTGCTAGCTTTCGGTGCTCAAGGAAACGCGAAGGTACCGCCTAATGCGGATGTAGCATTTCGTGAGTGGTCAGAAGCAATATGTCGACCGAATATGCACTGATGAGTTATTCATTGTTGCAGAGTGTGAATTGGTCAGTATCGATTGAGAGGCACATCGCCTTTGGCAGAAGGCGGGATACGATACGACTTCTGTAGATTGTTCCTGGTGTATACGTAACTTCAACATGCGTTCTCTCCTAGCTTGTTTCTCCTATTTCCGGAGCTCGAGCCTACATATGCATGCGCAATTTACTGTCTTTGGTCAAGACCGGATGCCTGTTGTGCATTTGCTAAGTACTTGGGGCAATCTTTGGTCTCTCGCCTTTTTGTCCGAATCTCTAGTTCAGAAGTATTACTTAAGTCTCACTACAAGCTAATTCTTATCTTTCCTCCCTACCGCAGCGACGCCTCGGACCTGGCTTGGCCAAGCCGTTCTAAATGTCATTGCATACGCCAGAAGACCTATAAGTTGAAAAGTATTGGACATCATTCTGTGACAAGGTCTCTAGCTTCTGCCGTATCTCCGCCAATAGCGAACTGCGAAAATACTAATTGCTACCAATCTCTTGTTCCAATTACCATCAGGTGCATACGGCGAGCGTGTCATACGAGGTGTTAAGCTAGCCTGGCTGTGGGGAGGTCATATGAGCTGCAACCACCCCCACCAAGACGAGATCAAAGTGATCATCGGAGAACTGAGGCATCAGGCGGCGGACTTGCAGAAGTTACGCGAGCTGCTCATTCGCCTGATTCGGTCTTCCCGTGGTTATATGGTGAGTAGCCTGTACATTCCGAAAATGGAATCATCTTTCAGTGCCATGTGCAGGACGTCATTCGTAAAGCCGTGGAGTCTTGCGCAGAACGAGTCAATTGTGATGATGGGCATAGCAAGGTTGTGTACGAGTTGGTCTACAAATTACGCCATACCGAGGAGAGTCTGCGACGTCTGGATTGGAAGATTACGGAGCTAGAAGCTCTCCTCGCGCCTATGCAGTGTCTTCCCGACGCGCTGCTACTAGCCATCTTCAAGGCAGGTTGCAGGCAACGACGTCCACAGCCGGACGTATGGTCACCTTTTCCTATGCTCGTTGCCTCCGTGTCGCGTCGCTGGAGAAATCTCTCTCTTACCACACCCACCCTTTGGACGAACCTGCATATTTCCATGGAGGGACCCCGCCATTGGGCGAGTCTTGCACTCACACGATCTGCAATGCATCTGCTGGATATCACTATCGACGGTCGTGGAGAATGCCCTAGTCGATTAGACGAGATTGCGACATATGGACACGCAGAGGCGCCTCGCTGCACGCCGACAATAATTTCATGCTTGAACCTGCTGGTACCGCACAGCAATCGCTGGCGCAAATTCATTATCATAAGCCATCATTCCATCGACATCAGAGTAGTAGGCGAAATCATAAAGAACGTGCAATCGCCTTTCCTCGAGCATCTCCGACTGTCTCTCACCGGCAGCGGTCCCGCGGATAACCAAGAGGTTCCCCTTCCTGCTATCCTCGGAGGGGGGGCGCCCATGCTCTCTTCAGTGCGCTTGGACAGCGTCTCCCTCCCATGGGGATCTATGCCCCTATCTGGTCTGTCAACGATCGACATTCGCTGGATGTGGGATCAAACCAAGCTGATGTATCCCCAGTTCCGTGACCTCTTGCAAGATTCGCCTGCGCTAGAGCAGCTCATCCTGCGAGGCAGGCATGTCGAGCTCCACCCCAACTCGACGTATGAGTCTATCCACGTACCCTCGCTCCGCTACCTGGAATTGTCGGGCGATAACATCTGCCGCTTGTCCTCGATCCTCATCACACCCGAACTTGAGACGCTGGCGCTCGTGAATGTGGATGAAAGCGAGTTCCGCGAGTTCGTCGGCTGGTTGTTGTCAGTCGAGATCCGCTACTCTGCATTGCGGTTCCTCGTCTTCGTCAATGTCACTACCTGTGGCCTGCCGTCAGGGTTCACGGAGGCGTTCCCCAACATCGTACAGCTCACGATCATCAATTCGCATGCTAATCATTTTATTGAGCTCATGCTGAGGACACATGGAAGCATGTGCCCTGACCCGGACAAGGGCATCTGGCCATTGTTGAACACGATTGCGCTGATAGCCGATGATGTAAATTATGACAGACTCCGTCAGATGCTCCTCAAGCGGACTGCACAGCAGTTACCAGTGCAGCGTTTGGTTTTGAATGGGATCTACACATACAACCACCAATATGTGTCCCCGCTGATGGATTTGGTGAAAGTTAATGGCATCTCTGCACTTGAAGGAGATTTGTAGTAGCCTAATTGGACTATTGTGTAATTTTTGAGTATCGCGTGCTCTCATCTTATGCTTCACTGCCGCCCCGACCTGGGCGACGCTGTAAAGGCCTAATTTAAACCGGGAAATCATGTCTATTTTGCTGAACAATTAATGCACCCGCTTTGCTAGTCTCGGAACCAGCCGTTCTGACCTTCGACCCTCGTGTCACGCTTGTCGTCCCGCATATACCTGTGCATCCCCTGACCTCCGCTGGAAAATTTTGTTCATGTATGCCACCATATGTGTACCTTGGAACATATTCGAGGCATTGCGACTCGCGAATGTGCCGCGCTCAGGTTCGGATGTTTCGAGTTTTGGCTGAGGTCACGCCCGTGTGACATACCCCCCCCCTCTATACAATTTTCACCAGACGTTCTCGGGAGCGACCCAACATCTTAAACGCCCAATTTGGTAACCGCCAGGTTGCTCACGTGAACGTCTGGTTACGAGACTACCGCTTTGCAGAATTTTTGTTCTTGCTGACTTGCCCGAAATGGCGGGCGGAATTTCCGGGGAGCCAAACAGAGTCAAATAGGCCAAGGGGCTGAAGAATCAATTCGGCTTGCTCGGCCTATTTGGTTCTGTTTGGCCTGTGGCTAACTGGAAAACAGGCGCTCCGCGGCACGCTGCCAATTGAACAATTGAACAACGAAGACTTCACAGGTATACTCATTCGTATAGTGGATAGTTCTCTTACTCTTACTCATGTCAAGCTGTTCTAGAACAAGCTACTACTGAGACTTCCACTCGTGCAGGAACGATTATGCAGGCCATTGCCTTTTTGAAGGAGGAGCCGTCTTACAGGGATCCACATGTACCTGTGGTAATGCACCTAAATCTTTAGCGACATGTACACGAATTGACATGACAACAGGCTGGTGGCTCACTTAGCGCAGTGCGACGGCCGGCCGTAGTAAAGGTAGTCACGGTCGAGGTTCGTGTGGCTTCATCCCGTACCGTTTCCTGTGGACTAACCAGGTCGTTTAATGTTGTTCTTGCTCTCTCGACAGAGCTCTAGTCCTCTTCAATGTTTTCCTGAGCATCATGGTTCGAATCCATCCCCAAAACAGGACCAGAGCGGCGCTGCGTACATCCTAAGGTTGTTTCTGTGTTCGTTTGGCCAGGCCGCTATGCTGTCTGTCTGTGTCGCGTTCCGGGCTCTTCTATATGCAGCCCAGTTCATCCTGAGCGCAGTTCTTTCAGCGATCGTATCGGCTGTTGCCATCAGGATGCTTTGTGACAGCCAGTATACAAAGACGTCCCTACTGTCGTCAAGCATATGCTCTTACATTGAGACGCCGGCCCCCGAGTGCTATCGCGAAGTTGCGCTGGATACTACTCGCAGTGAATACGGATCCCTTAGTCCTATCGACTTCAGCATCAATACTACAGCCCATTTGCCTTGTGATGATCTTGCTGCGACCAATTACGCCAGCTACGCCACTGGTGCTCGTCCAATTGAACCGTTCACCTCAAGCACCTACCCGGTACCAGGTTTCAACCTTCTATTCTGGCACAACCCAGCACCGAGTCATAGTGCCCCGCGCAGTGTTCTTTCGGACAATGGGGGTTGTTGGTCCATGGTTGGCTCATCAGGTTATTTCACCGTGGAACTATCCCAACCGGTGCGTGTCACCAATGTCACCATATGTCATATTTCCGAAGGTCCATTCCGAAACGCCATCCACGACGTCAGTAACACGCCGCGGTCGTTTGTGCTGTGGGGTTTGACGCAGCGCGCTGAAGATATTGTACACGCTTCCCATGCTGACTTCGTATTACGACGGCATGCCCTGCCCGTGGATCTCGCGAGCCGTCTTGGAGATACCTACCACCCTTTCCCGCTGGTGCAATTTATGTACGACGCACATGTGGGTCAGCGCCAGACTTTTCTTCTTGGAGAGAATGGTATGACAAGATCGATACCCATTCGTCTTCTTATATTTCAGGTTTTAGACAACTGGGGTTCTCGCGACTTCACCTGTTTATGTCATATAGGAATTTATGGAGATGTCTAATGACTGTTATATTCATTTATCTACGTCTGGTTCTAGATTGTCTCGCCGTCCGCTCCGATTACAGGAATCGGAAGGCTGTGCTGAACGAACTCTACCACTGGTGATGATTGCTTCAACACGCAAACCGAAGGGAAGAGGTAACTGCTTACCTTATTCAACGGTAAGACGTGTACACAATCGATGTCGATACTAGGAGTTGTGCGCCTGGTGTGCGCGAAGTGACAAGTAATTTCATCTACCTCTAGAACTATGAGCTGGTCCCGGACTTTGTCGTAGAACAGTCGGCCTCCAACAAAAGGGAATTTCCTGTAGGGATCAAACTGAATGTGCCTTATCTCGAGCGCGATGTACTCCTCGACGAGTAAAAAGTTTCTCCGCACATCAATATTTTCCTGTCGGTATGAGTGAGTGAAAATATCGACGACGCGGCCAGCTCTCCAGTCGGCGTCGTCCGCACATTGGAAGACAATATAACTGTCGCCTCGGCTCGTGGTCACTGGTTTATAAATATCGTCCTGGACTTCGAGCTTCTTGTTCCGCACGACGTAACGGTTGATGTGCGGCCTGATGAAATTGTGGCCTGCGAACCAGCTTTGTAACGCATTCCACTCTTGGTCTCCAAGTCTAGAGAAGTCTCGAGTCTCTTCTTCAAGCTCATCATTATCCAGATCGGGGTCACCCAGTGGATCTTCGAATGCCAGCATATCCTGGAGCAGTGTCCCGCGGTGTTCGGACTGGAACGAGCTGATAAAGGGCGCTATGATGGAAGAAATGGATTGTGGAAGAGATTCAGGGTTGAATAAGCTCCGTAGGTTCTGTCTCATGCAGAAACGTCGTAACATCGTGCCAGGGAGGTCGACTAGCGAAGATTTCAACTTATAAGCCAAAGACCCACACGAATTAGAGCTCACCCATTTTATTGTTCGTCAGAATCGTCTGTAAGTCACCATTGTTTCGCTCAAAGCTGAAAGCCCGAATTGAGTGCGTTGGACCGAACCGTTCCAGGTGCTCTGGCAAGTGTAGAGAATTGTGTTGATTCGGGCTGATCGTTGTACCTGGAAAAAGTTCCAGCAGAGTCCGAAGATAGCGATGCATGTGCCTGCGATATCGTGTAATCCTCTCCGACGTCATGGTTCGCAAAGAGGCCAGTTTCACGGCAGTAATCAGATCCATGAAATTTTGAAGCATTCGATATTCTCTTGAATCGCTAGGCTTGCTACCCCAGGCCCAGATCAGAGATATAGTGAGGTTAATCGTGCAAAATGTGCGAAGTTCGTCAGCCTCTAGCTTTCCCGATGACGTGCCTGGTCGACGGGGTGGCGGTGTCAACGTTGAAGGTAGTACAACTGCATCCATATCCTTCCAGATGATAGAGAGCATCCTCCGGCCAAGTACCCTTCTACTTCTCGTCCTACCTTCGATGAGCTTTCCATCAGCATCTGTGATCCCTTCCGCTAGTCGCTGAAATAATCGTTTAGGCAAAAAATTGGAATGAGCGGATCTACACATACATACGCCCGCATCCTTTGAAGAACGTCATCTTTTTTCTGAAGCGTTTTGCCTTTGAACTTCTTCGCGGCCAACATAACCAGAACGGCAGTGCTGAGCTTCATGAGTTTGGACGTAGCTCCGTGTTCCAAAATGTCCTCAGCCACCTCTACTTGGCCAGCTTCGCCAGTGCTCTGTGGAAGATGCTTCTCTCTACGTACGAGGAGCTTTCCTGAATTGTCAGTGATTCCCATTTTTATGCGCTGTAAGGGAAATATCAATACACAAATGCGAATGTACGTCATTCCACTGACAGCCTGATGAATAGCTGCCTGAACGTCACTCTTCTTCTTGAGAGTATCGACAATATCTTGGGGTAATTTCCGGCAGCAGAGCTGAATAAGGACAGGCAGCCGGAGTTTGTTCAGAGCTGATTTTGTTCCCGTGTCGAACTTTTCCACGGCATCCTCCAGTTCTTCCTTAGTCACTACACGCGACCGCGATACTGGAAGATCTTGAGCCGCAAAAAGATTGCCATGTTTATCCGCTATTTTCTGGTCCAAGCGCTGCGGAAGCCGCTCAGTCAACTGATGTCACAAGGGCACAGAACGTACATATTGAGTCAGCAGCGCCAGAAGTTCGTCCTTGGTCTTCTTCTCATAATCATGAATGGTCCCTCCAAGCTTCTGCATGCATACTTCACGAAGTACATCTCGACGCAATCTTTGTAACGCAGTGCCTGGCTTAGAGTCAACTGCTACCAGAGCAACCGCCAGTTCCTTCGGATGTGGGACATTATTCACCGCAGGATCTGGCCTCAGAGGTTGCTGCTCGTCTGACAACGGATTGCCATTGCTATCGAACCATCCTTGTTCCTTCCGCTGAGTAACGAGGTCAGCAGTTGTATATTAGAAATTGAGCACTACACACATATGCAATGAGACGCTTCAACAATTTACCCCGCCGTCCCGAAGATCGCAGCATCTTAATTCGACACAATTGCTTCAGAGCTTCCACTCGAAGGCCAGAAAGCTCATCGCCAGATCCAGTCCTCAGAATGTGAAGAGCCTGTTCTGTTTCCTTTTGGGTAGGTTTGGGGTCATCGACGATTCCTCGTAGACCATCTGCGTGTTTCGCACTCATTCCCCAGACCTTGTCAATGTGACGCCCCAAAAGTCCAATGTACAGGAGATGCATCGCTTCGAGTGCAGTATATTTGATCGGGTCCCAGTAATGTAGGCGTAGCAATTCAGACCACCTGAGTCCATAATCGTCCATGATCTTCTGCCGTTCTTCTGGCTCAGCATTCTTCCATTGTTCTGCTGATGCACGATGTTGCTCGGTGGTTCGTTCAGGCCAAGTCCAGTAATCAATGTTCTCGATGTCTGATAACTTCAGGTAACAGCAGGAACAGAAAAAGGTATGACCATGTGTGCTGAAACCTGCCATCTGACGAGCCGCTTCGAGGTCGCAAACAAGTGGAATCATTGCACATCGGCATGTTTTGCCCTCACGATGAAGAGGAGTTTCTGAAAAGCGGATCCCGGAGTCGTACGCGTCGAGAAGGTCATCCACGAGCGGTGCTAGAAGAGGATTGATCTGTTCCTTCGACGGATGTCCCGGAAAGATCGCGACCAAGTACATATTCTCGATCTTGTATCGCATCTCCGGTGGGAGATTGAGTAGTGCCATATAGATCGCACCGACAGAAGCGGAGGGACCTCCCTTGCCGAAAGGGTTCAGGCCGTCCATACACAGACTGAATACGTACCGTCCCTCGTTGGCATCCGCATCCATGAATTTCGTCCCATTTGGACCTGGAAGGTCATGGAGAAGCGGTTGGTCCCAAATATCAGCGGCAACCTCGGGCGATGAACAAGGAGGTTGAAAAAGTTCAGGTCGATCCACGATTGCTTCCATGCCAGGTCTGCAGAGAAATCGCGCGAGCCAGTGCTTGAGGTCATGATATATATAGCGACTGTAGGGAAAGGTTCGATCCTTGCCCTTAATTTTCCGAGTAACATATAGCTCTCTATTACACGGCGGACTAAGGGGTGTCGATTGAGCTGTGCATCGTGGAGGTGGATTGGGGCCATTGAGGGGATAACAGTGGTAGCACCCTGGACAGCAAACGAACGACTTCGTCACCGGCGTCACGTTGAGAGACTGCAAAACCGTGCGAATGTCCTGCGGTATTTCCTCTACAATATCCCGGCTCTCGCGATCAATGGGTCCTTTGAGTGAGAATGCGACATTCAAGATGGTGCGCAGAGCGTTCAACACAAAAGTACAACGGGAGATGGAGACATTGCAGAGAAGGTGCAACACTCCGGCGAGAACATAACAAAGCAAGATGACTGGTTGCAGAGATCTCAGTGATGATTGCAAGTATGGTCCTGCGCATATCAGTAGGGATAGTACGTGGTAACGATGCGGACGTACTCGTTTGCACAACACCATCATTTTGAGCAGTTGAATTGGCACCGTGGGACAGAAGCACAGTTCTCTGCCGCTCCCATTCGATCTCTTTCCACCGCTCGACTTCCTCTACAGCGTCTTCTACGGCGGTCATCGCGCTTCCGGTGCGCAGACGAACCCGAATGCTCTGATGAGTTTTCCAAGATTCATATCGCAATAAAGATTGAAGAAGCCACTCCTCGTATTCCAACAACGCTGTGTTCAAGGGGCTGTCATATTTGACAGCAAAGAGACCTCGATTGATCTCTTGCGAGACCTTATCTTGCACTGGCTGCAGATGCACCGGTACTGAAAGTACGCTTGGAGGAGATACAAAAGCCAATGCACCATGATCCTGAGCAGCAGCACGTCTCTCCTGTAGTTGTGCCCTGAATTTATCGAGTTCCTCCAAGAACGTAGAGTCCCGAACTTCGCTGTGACTCGGAGGGTCGGTCGTAGTCGTCTCAGTGGGCGATGGTGGAGTGGATTCTGGGATCCAACCCGGTGCCGGCATAAAATCTGCTTGGAGAGGGTCGAGATGAGACGATGTAGAAGGTGTCGGCATAGTTAGATGGTTGACATCAGGAACGGCCAAAGGCACACGTTTGTTGTCAATGCGCCTATGTTCTTCGTACTCTTTCTGTCCGAGAAATACTCCGCGCATCAGTGCCCCTGTACTTGGATCGCACGAATCCTTCTCCGCGCATTCCCAGCAGCGGCAAAGGTATTGTTTAGGCAGTTGGGTGGCATTCGGTCTTTGGCCCACCGGCGCTCCATGAACCAATCGCGGCGGCATCTACTTTAGCACCATGAAACCAGCGTAAATTTCAACAAGAACATTGAGACCTGTACATACCGTGAGTACGTTCAGACCTGCGAGGAAGATATTTTGTCTAGCACTTGCCCAACGAAAATATGCGGACGCTGGAAACTTCCGAGTGGCGACTCCCACGTAACTCCCATAGGAAACACGACAAGTTAACGTGGTCACAAACCTCGTGCGGTACTATTGTTCACCTATTGCGGCAAGGCTACTCCGGGAGCAAGGTGAAAATTGCCTCTGCTCGAGTAGTACACGTACGGATTGAATATTGAGGGCTCAGTCCGTGGTGCGACTCTCCGTTTCGGCATCGCTTTCGTACTCGGGCCCTCAATAAATTCGTGCAACAGTTATTATACCAGAACCTTCAAGATAGGTTGTTAATTTTCAGACCCTTGCTAGCACGGCATTGATGTCACTTGAATCTAGTCTACTGGCAGCGTGTTCTATCGGTGAGTTTGGTTGCGTCTACGCACGTGAAGTAAGCACTTAGAATAGGCTCGTTTCTAACCTCGAGCACTACTGAAGACAGCGGGAAGAGATCACAACCAACCTGTGCGTCGCAGCCAGTCATCTATTCGCTCTGGTGCAAGCGCAGCCGCCATTGTTACTCAATATCGTTTATTGGGGGATGTCTCCTAAGCAAACGATGGAACAGGCAGACAGACGGTTTCAAGTGGCCTGCGAGAGCTGACATATGAGTTACACAAGACGGAGTGCGACTGGTAGGACGGCCAGGTAGGCCTAGGAAATTGACAGTGACTTTCAATCCATTTTCTTGAGATATTTGAAGAAGGCGTTAGTGAATTGACAGAGACCAATCCAATGGGTGCGTGCGCGGTGCGCCGTCGACGTTTAGATCTTGCTAGTTCCTCACCATAGGATGGGCCCATGGTCCGTTTTCGTACGGCGCCTCGCACTCTGGGAAATAGGCGCTGGGTAGCGTTGATCTCTCACACATTATTTATTCGTTTAGACCAATGAAAACTGGCAGCGGGCTAACATCATCCATTTTTGTAGTACAACCAAGCAGGACGATCTACGTGTGTATTTCTGTCATCTCTCACCGCACGTCATGTCAGTGGAAGAGAAATAGGGAGCCTAAGGGTAGAGAAGGAGATATAGTAATGGTGCGTCAATCTAGAATGAGTTTCAAACGTTGAAAGAACGATGTCGAGCACTTCGAGGATGTGCAGGCCAGGGAACCGCATTGCTCTTGGGAGAGTCGCTAATTATGACGAGACATCGAGAATAGGCTAGCGTGAGCTCAGGACGTACAGTCTGACAGAACGGTTTTGTGCAGTCAAGGAATTTCATCTAAATAATGCAGTTCGTCAACGAGATTCTGACACACCTCCCCAATTACTTGTTGCTTATCATCATAGAGATGAGAAGACCATTGACAGTGCTCGTATTTCCAACCTCTTGGAATCGTCCTTGTGAAATTCGTTGCCCTTAGCTGATTTCGTTGAGCCACTCGAGGAACGAAAAGACATCACCGGTACCTGGCATCGCGCCCACTCCAATCTCTCTGTCATTCCCACGGCGACCGTCGACGGCAGTCTCAAGACCAATAATCCCCGGCTTATTATGAGCTTCGAATTTCTGCAAAGTCCAATGATAGTTGTTCTCTACACTGTTAACATACTACTGAAGCTGAGGTTGATCATATCCCGTGCGTCAGTCAGAGCATCCATCGTCTCATTATTTCGACCTGACCTTGTCAAGCTTAACGTTCTTCTCCGACAGGCGATCAATCTCGGTTTTGTATTCCTCTGGAATGCGAGAACAATCGCTGCAGGAGGAGTCCTGGTTCTTTGCGATGACGTCCGGCAGAAAAAAGGATGAAGGAGCGCGTACATTCTGACGGTGATCTCGAGCGCACTGCTGTAGGCACTCCTCGACTTTGACTTCGTACTGTAACCCTCCGCGCGTATTTTCACAATATTCGCCGCAGCACAGGACCTGTTCCATGAAACAAAGGATGAGATGCGAACATATATATAACGACGTGGAGCGTCAACATAGACTCATGGATAAACTCCACTACAAAGAGATGTGCGACTGCGATTTCAATGTCGTCGCAGGAGTCGACGCACCTTCGGGTGCCAACGTTAGCGAAGGATCGGTACGGTAAGTTCCTTATGGTCACTCACAACGGGTCTCTGAACACAGCTGCTATCAGCAAGCGGTATGTCTTCAGGTTGGGGCAGACCCCGTCCACGCCACTTTCTGTGATATTCTCGGCTTTCCATTACGAGGGGAGTTAAAGGCTACCAAAGAGGTGAGCGCACAGCACAAACGGGTTGGAGGTGACCTCCATACCTTTCAGGAGAACGATCGGATGCGAAGGCTGTTAGGAAAGCAAGACTTGGCTATCACGCGTTTGTTACATGCCGTTGAACAGGCAAGTCTTACTCGAGGCTTGAAGCTTTGAAGCTTTGAAATTTGAAGTCTTACCTTGGAGCTCGAGTAATTTAATCAGGCCTTGAATTGCCCATCTGTAAGGAGGGGATGGACACTCCAGTGGCGTAAGTCGGCCGACATTGCTAATTTGTTCGGCTAACTGTTTGCTCCCAGCTTTGTACCCTGCGGCCATGCACTTTGCCAGTCTTGCGCAGGTGATGTGGCTAAGAGGCCAATGCGCCTTTTTCCGTTGTGTAGACAATGGGCGGTCTGGCCGCCTGTCACAATCTTGGCAGTGAAGTCGATGGGCGAAGAGGGGGCCCGGACCAAGTCGCAGATGCGATCATGATATCGTTATACCTTGTGTTATTTGAGAAACCGTGCACCGAGGAGCCGCACCAGTCACTTAGGGAGAGTAGGGACGTCTTGTCCCATCTACGTTGTAGCAGAGACCTTGCGCTCGCATTGGTTTCGGAGTATCCCGACTGAAGCCAATACACGTCGTACAGGCAGAACCTGGGGGAAGTCATGGGAGAGCATAAGTGCAACGCGCAAACCACAACGGGATTGGCAGAAAGTGAAGACCTGCCAGTCTAGATGCAGGAACACCATAAGGGGTATTGACAAATGCTCCATGTGCGGTGGCGGAGTAGTTGGATGCGACCCAGGGAATGCCTGATGTAGGCGAGGCGAGACGTCGTCCACCAAAACATCCGCTACATGCAGTAGTATCAGGCATTGCGCTTTGATAAAGCAGCACGGTGACATCAATAATATTCGGGCAAACACAAACAAGGCCACAAGCTAGCGAACTCACTACGCACATCATTCCAACCTCCAGTCTGCGCACGTTGTACACGCTCCCCTCGTCCGTGGTGCCTATCCCAGCATCACTGCACCTTTCACCGGAGGCAGAGAAAGCTCATATTGCTCACTTGCGACACCACACTGCTGTGTCTGAAGGATTTGCCATTCAAACCAATGCTCGGAAGATCTTAAGCTGATATTCTGCCTGATGAGTCGCGAGTGGAGACATTCACTACGCCTGGGCAAGCAACCTCGAGGTCTATCAAGCAAGTATGGCATGCACCGTAACTCAGAAGAAACCCACGGGTAGAAAGGTGTAGCAATATTGGGGAGCGACTGGAGACATCCTGTGCCGGACGAGAGCGTGGGCGTGGGAATATGGTGTGCGCCAATCTAGTGCCCGATCGTAGAACACGAGGCTCTCGAACGTCGCAGCGGAAGAATCGCGGAAGAATCTCCCATTTCTTTCCTGTTCGACGCTCTATCAGGATATCGAGCTCTGAGCAGGCCATGCGTTTTTACACTTGAATGTTGCAAGCATAGTAGAGTATATTTGCAACCGGGCGCCGAATTTTCCCGGGCCAATCAGAACGCAGAGTTAGCTAAAATTTGCCTCGTTGCAAATAAGTACACTGGGTGACTGCAGCGTGAGGGACAGTTGACGTTCATTAAGACAACTCTACATCTGCAATCCGCCTCCATTGATAGATTGTCCGAGGCCATTGCTCGTCGTGCGACCGCCCTCTCTAACGGAGGGGGCACGGGATCGGGAGATTCGTATCAATTCTCATATCTGACCGATCGATCCTGCTGTAATTAGAACGTTCTCTCTTAGGCCAGCTTGGGAATCGTGAACGTTTCTAACAATCGACCTGTGCATGTGAGAGGCAAGAATCAGCGAGCGGTCCACCCAGGGTTCAGCAATATATACTTAGCCCGACTGTAACCGTTAATTTCTGATATAAGCTGAGGTTCTCCCTGCCATGTACATGCCGCCGGGCACAGCACAGAAAACATACTGGAGCTGGCAAATGTTCTTGCATACATTCAGACGCGAAAACTTGACAAACAACTACAGCTCTACGTGACCCACTGCGAGCATAACCATCACATAATGACGAGATCTTCCGTATCAAAGGGGCCTTAGCAGCGACATCCGGGGCACGTCGCACTGGTGGTAGTGGTAGAGGGCCCTGCGGCTACAGCCGCCTCACCCGAAGGAGTGGGAGCGGCGGTGTTAGCTGCTGCTGCTATTGCGGAGGCGGCATTGGTAGTCGTGGTCGTGGTCGTGGTCGTGGTCGTGGTCATGGTGGTCGTGGTGGTCGTGGTCGTGGTCGTGGTCGTGGTCGTGGTCGTGGTCGTGGTCATGGTCGTGGTCGTGGTCGTGGTCGTGACAGTAGGAATGCTTGCTACCTTCTCCGCAAGTACACGAACCGTGTCACGGAGATCCTGGCAAAAAAGCGTAAGTAGTACATAGGCAGTGAAGAGGATGAGGCAAACATCATCATTGCACACCCTTGTGCTGGATCGTGCATCATTCATTTGGTTCGAACTGTGTCTGAGATCGCTGTTATTGCCCAGTGAGGGACCAGCCCGAGCGTCTGCGTCAAGGTTCCGAGATGGATCGGCATGCGCTTTGTCCATGCGAGTGCTCTGGGACGGACCCGCCTGAACTTCGTCGAGGTTGCTCAGAGAAGGACCTGCCTGAGCGTTGTCCACAATAGAGTCCTTCTCCTGAGCAACGGCAGGAAAAGAATAGAAGGGTACAGGATGAACCATCCTATGTCAAGTCAACAGATGGGTAATCTTCCACAAGCACAGCAGAGACACCACGCACTGACGGAGAAAGGTCGAACCCCGAGGCGATATACCCCTGCCCATGCTCTCACATAGATGTTTGGGGTCACGCTCCAATGCTGCCTGATCATCGGACTCAACTATGTCAGGTTCGCGAGGCCGCTTGCTTGAGGCGGGATAGAAATTGTCCATGGTGAAGAATAAGCGGAGGTGGTGAGGGTAATACGAGATGCCGGCTACGCAGTTGGACTAGCCTGCCCCTATATACTTCGCATAGCTCTCCCTGAGCGCCGACGGACAAAGACAACGTAAGACAATGCACACTCACCCGCCGCTCCACTGGGCGCTAGAACAATCGACACCTCCTTGAAGCCATGATCCTGATCATGCATCATGGTATACGGAGAAAGTCGACAAAGTAACGTCTTCAAAGCCAATGGGACTCTGTGGTGAGGGACAAAGGATCGGAGATTAAGAGGTGTGCCCGAGCCTTCCCTTGTCCAAGGACGTGGGGTGAACGTTCGCCCACTGATCATGGACGAGAACCCCGCTGAATTAATCGCTTTGGCAATGTTCTGGCATCGCCAGTGTCTCTCAGCTGGCATAACGCCATAACAGGGTTCGGAAGAGGTTTTGCCACTGCCCCGAGCTGGATCCCTCCGAGTCAGCGCTGTCGATTGTTTGGCTAACGTTCTTTAGATGCGGCTCTAAACATTAATGCCACATGCATCGAACAAAGACGAGTCGGACCAGTACCAGAATGCGAACAATGAGATAAGTACTAAGATCGGCAAGAAAGGTGCTACGTGGAGCACACGCAGTGTCGAACAACTGGACCGGGACCATTTAGATGATTCCGGGAGCTGTCGAGACAGAGAGATGTTCACCACCCGATGCGCCTTTTGCGCCAGGCAGCAGAAGGAAATATTCTGGCTTAGAAACAGGAGACAAGCCAAAGGGTTCAAAGTTAACGTTCAAGCCCAAAGAGTCAGAAGATGTACACAAAAAGTATGACAGCATTGAACTAAAGGCATTGAATTGACGTCGCTTCGCCCTCAGAGCGGAAGAACATCGTGGGGGGTGCGCGGAAGCGCGACGCGTGGCAATCACGTGCATTGACCAGAGCCACTTGAGCCAAACAAGGACAAATGTTGGCGCTGACGGTAACAACGTGGCATACGTAGGCTAGTCGGCCGTAGCCCGTCGCCAGATCCCGTCATTCGGGAGTCGGCGCATGTAAAGCGACGCTGTCTGCTGGCATATCCCTCAACCCCACTGCCCCAGACTCCCGGAATATCCATATCGAAGAATAGCTGCTTGGGCTCACTCTCTACTTCCTCTAAAGCACCTCACTCGACGACGGCGCTCCACTCGACATCCTGTACGGGCAGGTGAAGCGGTGGATCAAGTCTCTACAGTCCGTCACTAAGCTAACGTGTGCACTTTGGGGACCTTTTCCCTTATGGTAAATTTCTGGCTAACCTTGAATATTGAGAACCAGTTGCTCAGTCAGAAGATATCCGTGCGATATGAGACGTTTCTACGCCACTATCGGTCTCATTGCGCATACAGGCTGACCACCAGTAGGGACATCTTTTGTATTCTTATTCCAACGGCAGTTGAATCGCGCTTATCTCTAGTCCAGGTACAGTCAACTGACGAAGGACTGGGCTCCTCGCCGAGATTCGAGAGTCCCTCTTCATTTTTTGCTGCATCAGTCGCACACTCAAGCTCTCGTATCGTTCCATCCGTCCGTGCTTCCGCTGGTCTAAGCCATCTTGCGACTTTGACGACCAGCTCCTGCGCCGTTCATCTCCACCTGCTCTATGCACGACACAGTACCCTGTAGCGCACGCTCTCGTACACGATCGCAATGTCATTGCAAGCACGCGCAGAAGTTCATCCCCGAACGAAATGCCTCGTGTCTTTTTCACGCATATGGTAAAAGAAATGTTTTGCGAATGTCGTGTTTGCAATTGCCACAAAGCCATCTACCTGCCAGAGAAGACAATTATTAAACTACTAGACTGTCAACAAATAACGGATGGGCGTGGTAAGTGGGTGGTTTTTCCAACGCAGGAAGGTGCGGGGTGAATTAATGAAATCTTCTAGTATCGGATCGCTGTCGATATCTGTTGCGCACTAACAGTAACACCGACGGGGCTGTAGAACGTCGCCATTGTCCGCATATTCAGCGCGAAGGACAGCCGATGCTGCTTAAGACAGTTACATCCCTGCAGTCCATCCTCGCCGACGGTCTTTCCCGGTCCGCCCTGCATATGTAGTATCGTGGCATCATAATGTAGTGGCCTCCCAAGCTGCTATTCACCCGTGGCGACCAGTTGTAAGCCGCCATTACCAGTCGCGAGCACAAGGATCGCTTTCGATTTGGCGACTTTATCATACAACGTTGTGATAACCGACCAATCAGACACTACGCTTGGGAAAATGGCTCACAGCAAATGCACGATGCGTTCAAATTCCTTTGCACAGAGCGAAGTCAAGAGCTCTTCACTCTCACGACAATGGAAGGATTGAAAAATCGCATTATCTAACTGGTTGGCTATATTTTGTCGGGTTCGGTGCTTAGTCAATAAGCTTCAATCTTTAGCTCTTTGCGCGGCGACCCCGGAACTATCATCAGCACACAGCGGACGAGCCATACAATGTATCCCCAGAGACGTCACTTTGCTCAGTGCACTTACATAAGATCAACGTGCCACAAACCAAAATGCGCGCAACAAAGACCAGACAAGTATATTTCTAGTTCACCAGGCGAAGTAGGTTGCTCTTGTCGATAGGAATCTCTGAAACTTGAAGGTCAGTGCGGCCAGTGCCCGTCTAAATGCGACCGTGCGTCGAACGCCTTTCTGTTGCCTTTGTTCGCAGGTCGACTCCAGGCTAGCACTTCTTCCCCCAATAGCTCGCGCGGACTGTAAACTCGCGAGCAACAAACAATCGGTCTCCCCCAGGCGACTGATGTCGATCGATATGGTGCTAGAGTTCCTTGCTCCAGTATTCATTCGCCGGACGATCGAGTGGTATCGGTGCAGGTAGTATTGACACCTGTAAGACTACGTACGACCTTTCATATGTCTATTGGGCTTGAACACCCTGACCTGGAAGCTTATATTTTCAGACTTCCCGTCAGTCTTCGGCTTTCAACCTGCTCTCGATATCCTTTCAAGTTACTTCAAGTAAGCTCGGAGTCTCTCGGCGGGCGAGCGTGGAACTGAGATTACGGTGCGCTGACACGTTTCTACTCGCTCCTGCCTAGTCCTCTCCTTTGGTCTCCCCACTCGTATTGTCTGGTCATATATCCTCCGTATTTGTTGTCCATGTACGATGCTATAATATTGCCAACTAAATTAGTAGATATCAGTACCCATCCTGCAGACATCTCGTGACATCGGATTGGCATGATTGGTATCGCACGTGGAGAACAATGTATTCGGCTTGAGGTGCAGTATCTCTTCAGGATATTATGTGCTGCTTCCCTCCAAGTTTGAGGACCAAGTTGCACATCCAAGGGATTTAAAATCATGCACATCTACTACGTGTTTTTTTTGAAGAATGTCGCGAGACCATGAAACTGCACGCGGCGTGGGTAACAACGAATAGTGCCACCCACGCCAGTATTGGCTTCCGGAATGACGGGTGGCATCACAAAAGAAAGAGAGCAGAGGGCGGTAAACAGCGGGGTACTTTGTTTTCGCACGCCTCTTCAACACCTTCTCTGGGCTGTGCAGCCTGCACGGTTCAGAACAAGGTGAAAGACAGTTACATTAGACAAGGTAATTATCGGGGACCTCCGTCTTTCCATCCTTTTCCTCGTGGTCAAGTGGTTCCTTCCAATAGACTTCTTTGTCTTGTGCCGATATATATACGTGGCATAGCAGTTCTCGCTATTCCTCAAGTTCGCACTCTTCCTCACCACTGATGGCATTGTGCGTCTCGTTGAACCAAGCTTGTGTTCGCGATGATAACCGTCTTCGCAGCTCGTTAAAGCTCACCAGCGACCGCATCGAAATTTGGCCAAAGGAGGTGAACAATTTAGCCGATGTCAAGTGGGCACCAGCTCGTTTGGCCTTGGCTGACATCTCACCCGATCACTGTAGGCGTAGGCTCCTTGTACAATTGATCCTATCTTGGTTGACGCATTATTTTCGATCCAGACACAGTCTCTGTCTTTGTGGAGAACAATCCTGTGTTCACCGGCGAAATCTGTCTGGATTGGCACTTTGCCTGTGTTCGTACACTTGATTTCCTGTCTCAAATGAGTTCTTCAAGGAATTGCTCACAGCTATGTGGTATTCTGGCGAAGGGACTTTCCACATCCGATTCAAGGAACACAGTGACTTTTGGACGTTTGTTGCATACTACAGGAAAGCACGATTGTCGATCGTCGAGAAGGACAAACACCTCCGGGAGCAACTTGAGGCGGTCAGAGAGTCTGTTGAAGCGTCGGTCTCGACTGTTTGACCTATCGGCAGGGAATAAATTGTGATTAGTGGCAGAGGTCATCTCGTTGTGTGCGTACTGTTAGTGATTATCATGAAATATCATCAGTAGAGTCTTATTCGGCTCTCGCACGCAACAATCCGATTCTGGAGCGCTCGTGAACGGTCAGGCTTTAAGGATGAGGGCAACTACGCACGCACGCACGCTGTAGTCGTACTGACTTCCCTTTCTAGCAGTATCATGCGAAAGCGGACTATGGTGACTCTTTCCTGGACAAGGGAACGAGGCTCTGAGGCATTGAGTATAGTGTCGAGTGGTGGAGTTGTACGTGTTCATTACTGTCCCCGTCTAAGTCGAGGCATCGTGTATTGGCTGAAGTAAATAGCATTATTGGTTGAATAGACGTGAGCGTGTTTCAAGACCCCAATGTTTGATGATTGTACGCGCGTGCAGTTGAATGATTGTTCTCCATAACTCTGGACTTCCAGACGGGTGGATCGGAGGTTAGCCAAGCTTGACTTAGGAGGCCGATGGCTGACAGGCAGAGATCCAAACTAACTTGGTGATCAGGAAACGCGAGCTCGTAGGTTATGAAAATCCAGTGAAAGGATCTCACAGAGTTTCATATGCCAATAACATCGACATCGACTTCCAAGTCTCTCGACACATCTGGCAACGATACAGGTTCATAACATCGGTGTATCGTAGTCTATGATCAACTACGATCCATG